TTCTAATTGTTAAGGCCCCTATGGTACCAAATCAGGGGTCCTATAGACTGAAATCCCACATCTCGCCCTCCACGCTTTAAAGGATGACCGGGCTTGGTAGTAGGGCTCAGAGGGTTTAGCGTCCCATATAGGGTTTCGGGGTTTCGGTTTGGGAGTTTCGGGTTTAGGCGTTCGAGGTTGTTTGTGTTGATAGGTTCAAGGTTTCAGGTCACACTGGGTTTTTTATGAGTAGGCCTCGAGGGGCTTGCGGGTTAGGCTCAAACAACGCTGAGGCTTTCGATTCAAGGTTCAGGGTTCGAGAACTTTCTTACCTTGGCAGTTTCCCCCAAGTGTTGCGTCTGTGTCACGTAATAGGCAGTGCAGGAAGATAAGGCTTCTGACTTCTCGGGCTAGTGTCGTGGGACCAAGGCCGTCCTGGGTAGAGGCACAGTATCGATTGCTCCGACTGTATAGTGATTCTCAGCGCAAACAACCTGTGAGTGCTTCAATGCTTCATGCCAGTTTATCAGGAACCTCCTATCTGGGGAACTGCAGGCGTGTATTCGTGGAAGCTCTTGTGCGTTTGTGACTATGAACTCCATCAGTGAAATGTGAGCAAGTTGCCATGCTGCCAGAGCATATCCTGCAGAGTTGTTCGGGGGCCTCAGAGTACTTTCGTAGCTTGCTGCAGAGCTGTGCACATCGCAGGATGTCCTGTACATGCGCAAGAAGCTGCGCTTCTAAGACGGCTCGGGCACGGGAGACGGTTGTGCTAGAAAAACAGTGCCGGCGGTTGTCATGGCTTGCACTGTTGCCACCACAGTTCTTGCACTGAAGACTAGTATACCTTTGCGTGACAGCAGCTTTGCATCGAGGCCCTGTGCAGCCAATATATCACTGACATGGAGCTTCGCAAGAACTTGCAAGATTTTGCAGCCCGAACCTGTGACAGAAGCACATGGATCAGAGAAGCAACCACTCCTGTACCTTGTATTTCGGTGACCTCTCATACTTACAGGCTCCTACGTAGTCTGTCGGTAGCATGGCCTGGTGGACTGAATGACTAATGGCACGTGAAGTTATATGTTGGAGCGACGTGTGGGTCTACCACGAATGCTGTGACGTCGCCACTTACGGTCCGGGAGGTTGGCGCCTCAGCCCGGCACATTCCAAAAGCCCAAGACGCTCCTATCCCCCTGTCATTGCAGCTGAGGCCTCGGCTTGTGCTTCTCGCAGGAGATCCTGACATTCGACCTCTGCTGTCCTCATCCGTACTACCGGCCCGTACCGCCACCGAACCTAAAGGCGGGGAAGTCTTGCAGTCGTTGCTATTTAGGGTTTAGGGCTTAGGAGTTTAAGTTTAGGGTTTAGGGGTTTAGGGTTTAGGGTTTAGGGTTAGTATCATAAGTACAGGAGCTCTTTCGGCGGCCTTCTTTTAGATGTCCTGTTTTTAGCAGGGCATAGGGGATACTTTGTCGGACTTGGCGCTCGCTACAGTAAAGTCCTGGAAACCCGAACGCCTAGAGCTTCGAAAGCTTTACCTAAAGCCCCACGACCCGACCTCCTGTGCTGGCACAAGCCATGAGTCAAACCCGAAAGCTCTACAACTCTGAACCCAAACTACAAGCCCTACACCTACCTTCCGAAAAAGGGAGCATCCACACCTTAAGCCCTAAACCCCTAAACCCTGAACCTAAACCCCAAGAGCTAAGCCCTAACCCCTGGCATCTGAAACCAAACCCCTAAACCCTAAACCCCTGAGCCCCTAAACCCGAAGCCCTAAACCCTGTAGCTGAAGAAACGCTAAGGTCGAGATCGTGGACTCACCTTGGGGTGACGTTCACCTGGGCTGTGACTCATCGTTTCCCTGGGCTCCTCATGCTCTCGCCCCTGCCGGCATCCCAGTATTGTGGGTTTAGAGAGTTTAGGGTTTAGGGTTTAGGGCCCCTGCCGGGCACCCCAGTATTGTGGGTTTCCGGGCACCCCAGTATTGTGGGTTTAGAGTTTTGGATTTAGGGCTTAGGGTTTAAGGTTTAGGGCCCCTGCCGGCACCCCACTATGTTGGGGTTTCAGTTTTGGAATCAGCATCCAGGATCTTGGAAATCAGGGGTTATACAGATTATACAGGGTTCAAGAGTTCGTCGGAGCGCCTGAAGGTGTTCAGTTTGCGCCGCGTAGGGTGTGTTTCAACAATTGTCCCAGGTCGGGGCATTGCTGCTACGATGGGAACTCTATGCTGCGGCTTCTAGGGTTTAGGGCTTTTAGGGTTTAGGGTTTGTCTTCAGGGGTTCAATGGCTATTTACTTCAGAGTCTGTCTCGTAATACTGCGAGTATGTTTGAACGTTTTCCAACATGATGTGGTACGGTTGAATACCAACTGCACACGCACACACGCGTGCACACACACACACACATGGAGTCGAAGCTTGCCACGACTGCCAGTGCTGCCGTCGTCGTGATGTTTGACCTTTTCAAGCGCCAGGGTCCGGTTGTGAGGTTCTTGGGCCGGGGCTTAGGGGGATGAACCAAAAAAATCCAAGACTCGATGTCTGTGAGCACTAAGCCGTATCGTATCAGATTCGTCGTTCAGGGCCGCGGAAACAGAGACTCAGACAGCTCTTGAAGGGAAAGGCCGAACACAAAGGCGCCCAACCCTGCAGAGATGGTCAGGGCTTCTGCCGGCCAGCATGTATATACTTACTAGCGTGAGTGTAGGAACCTTTGGGGGTATATATGGGTGGTTGTCAAAATTATGGTCCCTTTTTGGGTCCTTATTTTAATACGGCACCTATTATTTAGGGTACCCCAAAAGGGACCATAATTTTGACAACTACCCATATGGGTTTAGTTTAGTACCCGGTTTTTGGGTTTATGGTGTTTTGGGCTTCGGGCTCAGGCCTGTGGCTTTGACTGCTGTTCGCTTCTCTGGGTGGCCGACAGAGCCCAACATGAATCCCGGCCACCGTCTCTGCCTTTGGCATGAAGACCATGAAGATAGGGGCCTTAATAGTTACCTACACTATTTTTTTTGGGGGGGGTCCTTATTTTATATTATGGTATAATGGGCCCCAAAACCCTGTTGAAATTATTAAGGCTTAGCCTGAGCTCCCAACTGCTGACCTTGACCTTGCCTCAAACCCTCAGGCGAACCAGAACTCCGACCTAGGCCTTACTCCATGGTCCTGCTTACCACCCCAACACCGGCGAACACATGGAGGTCGGCCCCTGCTTTAAGGCATTATGGGGTTCTAGGCTCTGGGATTCGACGATTGAGGAAGGGGCGGGCTCGTTCTGTACGCCGCGCCTTTTTGTTTTGGGTGCTTAACGAAGGGCATCTGCCGTCTGGCCAAAAATATCGCGTGTTGTACGTGATTCTAGGGTGTGACTCCACATTTCGTGAGTTCACATCTTGTAGGATTGCCTTGGAATCAGACCAGAAGCACAAACCCACACACACACACACACGCACACACACGCCCGCTTCACTCACATACATATACATGCCATTCGAGTAATGTACAAGTGCACATACATAAGTCAGAATCATATTCATGGGCAGGTACATACACATACGCGTTCATATATATATATATACACCTTTATATATATATATATATATGCATATATATATATACACATGTATATATGTGTACACACTACTATATATATATATACACATACACATACGCACTCATACACATACAGACATAGACAAATACATACATATATATATGTACATACTTACATACACGCACATCCGTACATAATTCCACATTCCTTTCCATTTGTACATATGCATACATGTGTACATCGATCTAGCTTCCTTGTACTTGTGAGTATAAGTGCGAATGTACGCATGCATGCACGCATGCATGTATGAATATGTCTATCTGCCTGCCTGCCTGCCTGCCTGCCTGCCTGCCTGCCTGTCTGTCTGTCTGTCTGTCTGTCTGTCTGATTGTATGTATGGTCACATTTTTTCCTGTCTGCATTTCTGCCAGCATGCATATACAGCCACAAACACTTACAATACTTACAAAACCTCATGACGTGTACATGCACGAAACGTGTGCGTGTCGGTCCATATAGGGTCAGACTTGAAAATGCACGAACAGTAGCTATAGACGAATAGGGTGAGCACCTTCACACTCGTTCAGACCCATGCCAGATGTAAGCGAGCAACAAGGAAGGAAGAAGTGAGCCATGGGATTCTGGAGTACCAACATGCGTTTGGCTTTGCTACTTGTGCCTGTACATGAACCCAACTGTTTCCGCATGTATCTGCGTGTGCTTGTGCATTTATGTATGTATGTATGTACGTAGGTAGGTATGTATGTATGTATGCATGCAGCATTCATGCCTGCTTGTTTGCATGTACGCATGTAGGCATGTGTGCATTTGTGTGCGTGTATGTATGCATGTATGTGTTCATGCATGTAGGTGTATGTAATATGTATGTATGTATGTATGTATGTATGTATGTATGTATGTATGTATGTATGTATTGATGTATGTATGTATGTATGTATGTATGTATGCATGCATGGATGTATGTATGTATGTATGTTTGTATGTATGTATGTATATTATGTATATGTATGCATGTATGCATGTATGTGTGTATGTATCTACGGACAAATGTTTGGGTGTAGGGAGGTAGGTCGGTGGGCAGGCAGCTAGATTAGGTGGGGTATAGGTGGACAGGAAGGAAGCAAGGAAGGTAGGTATAACTGAGTAACTGAGGTATATACGTCCGTATGTATGTATGCATGTATGTATGAACCTATGCATGGACGGATGTGTGTTTTACGTAGGCACACATGTATGTTTGCATGTATGCATGCATGCATGGATATATGTATGGATGCATGTATGGAAGCACGTATGCCCTCGTACGCACATATGGATGGATGGGTATATGCATGCATGTATATCTGTCTGTTTGTCTGTCTGTCTGTCTGTCTGTCTGTCTGTCTGTCTGTCTGTCGGTCTGTCGGTCTGTCGGTCTATCGGTCTGTCTGTCTGGCTGTCTGTCTGGCTGTCTGTCTGTCTGTCTGTCTGTCTGTCTGTCTGTACGTTTGTACATACGTACGCACGTATGTATGTATTTGTGTGTTTGTATGTGTGTATATGTATGTGTGTATGTATTGTTTATGGATTGTTTATGTATGTATGTTCGCGTATATGCATGTATGGCACGTTTGTATGTATGTATGTATGTATGTATGTACGTATGTACGTATGTACGTATGTACGTATGTACATATGTACGTACGTACGTACGTACGTATGTATGTATGTATGTATGTATGTATGTATGTATGTAAGCTATCTAGGCGTGCATGGCTAGATGGATGACTGGATGGCTAATCTGATAGATGATTGGATGGGTTAATGGACGCATAGACGCTTAGACGGATGGACGGATGGAGTGGATTCTGGGACGGACGGGTGCATGCGTTTAATTGTGTGAATTCTCCATTCTAAACCTGAGCTCACTATGTGGCACACACTCCACATGCGTCAGGACCTCCTACCATTTGAAGGATCGACAGGACGTGGAGTGCGTCAGGCCATGTGGAAGCCAATGCGTTCAGCTTCCGTCTCATGTAGCATTACGATTTTGGGGTTGGGGGGTGAACCCGTGGACAGGAGCGCATGGGTCTGCGAGGGTCCGACGAGGAAGCTGCGGATCGTACGCAGCGAGTCAGGCTTGCGGGGAGTCGGGGGTGCAGAGTTTTGAGAAGGCCGGTTATAGGTTTTCAGGATGGGTTTGTACGGGTTTAGGTCTTTGGACGAAGGGTTTGGGAGACTAGTGGTGCAAGGTTCCGGGCTTCTTGGAGTTTGATACTCTGTGGACTCTGTGGTTTCAGGATTAGGGTCTTCTACGTTTCGGGTTTGCAGACTAGGATCTTGTTCAGAACTTTATGGATGGGTTTGTTATAGGATTTAGATTTCAGGGTCTCGCGCTTCATTGGTTCAGGGTTCAGGATCAGAGTGTACTCGGATTTGGTTTGGGCTTGAGGGTTTAGGTTTAGAGTTACGAGTGCCTCAAGCTCGAGGTCTCTGGGTCTTGTCGTATTTGCTGCGGTTTCGAGGTGTGTTTGGCGTTTGCTGCCTTGCGATTTGGAGTCCAGCGGATTTGTTGACAAAGGTTTGTTGCTCTGATTGTTCTTTTCTTTTATACGGGTGCGTTGTGTGAGACCTCGACCCGGCAAATGCCTTCGTAGCGAATTGTGGGCTTCCTCTAGTAGTAGCACCCCAAACTCTATCCTAACCAGTCAGGCCTCCAAGTTAAACCCTCTGAAACCCTTGCAACAACCTTATAGAATCCCACTCATGACCCCGAAATCAAACCCCATCAAGCCCTGACGGAAGCGTGTTCAGCGCTATTCCAATCATCCAGGCTCCTAAATTACCCAGAGTCCCATAATTAAGGAATATACCTTAAATTATAGTAGGATCCCTAATATGAATTAAGGTATATTCCTTAATTAAGAGATATTGGAGTCTCTGGGAAATTACGAGCCAAAATCGCGGAGGCACGAGCTCGCGAGGCGCTGGAGCACCATGGGATTCCGAAGCTTCATGGACGGGGCGCGCCTCTACTACGAAACTCGATTCTCGTCTCAGTCTCTGAACGAAGGTGCTTAGGCCCCATAGTAGTTCCTTTTTGGGATTACCTTATAGGATTCTATATGTGAACCCCAGAAAGGAACTACTTTAGGGCCTATGGGAGGTGCCCTCGGCTTTAGGGATTTTAGGGCTCAGGGAATCGGGAACTTACTTCTTCCTTCTCGCAAAGAAGTAGGACCTGTTCCGATGCTGAGATGCCGTGATGCCCTTTTTGCTGGTTGTCCGGTTTCCAGGTGCGCTCCTCCCGAGATTCCCGTGTTTTTTTCCGTTGTTTTAGCTCTGGTCAACACATAACCATTGCCGATATTGCTTTGGGGTTTTGGGTTTTAGGGTTTGAGGGTTTTAGGGTTTTAGTTTTAGGGTTCTAGGGTTTTGGGGTTCTTAGGGTTTAGGGCTTTGGGGTTCTAGGGTTTAGGGCTTTAGGGTTCTAGGGTTTAGGGTTTAGATTGCCTGCGCTCTGAGGCGAGTGGGGAATCGAGATGGTCGCAATTCTCTCACAGGCTCCATGGGTGGAAGAGTTGTGGTGAACTGCCTGTGGGTTCGGGGCCTCCATCACGGACCGTGTCGTGATGAGCATGTTGGACGTGAAGTCTAGGAAGTTCGGAAATACTTGTAGCAGCACAGAGTCTTGCATGCCATTTCGTATGCGGGGTCTTTCCGAGATGCTTTGTTTGCAGATCATGGCGAACTTCGGGCACAGCCTCTCTCAGTGCATGCCGGCCACCCTCCTGGCCGTGCTGATCAAAGCGGAGACGCTCTTCGATTTAGCTGCTCTGTTGCACTGCGCCGCAGCTTTGCAGCTGAACATATGGGGTGCCAGGAGTTCGTTTTACGCCCTAAAGCCCTTAACCCTAAACCCTAAACCCCAAACCCTAAACCTAAACCCCAAACCCGGACTCTAAACCCTCTTGTGCCAGCTGCAACCTCGCGACCATCGTCCGCGGCGTAGCACTAAAAGCCATTGTTGTTCCACGGTAGTGTCGGACCTCGCGCTGTGCCTAGGACCTTGGTGCCGCCAGACGCCTTCATTGGATCCCGTGGCTGAATACTTAAGGTTTTTTCAGTATACCGTTTGTAACACCCAGAAGCATCGTGTTAAAGCTCTCGTGGATTTGGCTCGGGATCCTTGCAATCACAGGCAACTTGCATGTTTTTTGTTGCTGCCTGTGTGTCCCTCCACTGGCATCCCCGCGATGGCGGCCTCTCTATGTTCCTCCTCTCCCCTTAAAGCTGTCGCTCATCGTGTTACTCGCCCACAGACAGGGCTGAAAACATGCTATTCAGCTGAATATAGAAGTCTAAACAAATACGTCCTTTAGGGTTCCCTACTTTCCCTACTACGACTGTAGAACAAGATCCCCCAAAACCCTATTCCAATTAGGAAGGCCCTCCATATTACACGTAGCTGCAGTCTAGGACATTTTCAGGTGGGTAGTTACCGTTATAGGAACCTTATAGAAGGTCTATATACCTTATGGAAGCCTTATAGAAGCCCTATATACCCTAAACTCCCCACCTGTAGTTTCCTGTAATGCAGCCAAGCTTTCTGGAGGACCGCCAGGGCACTGCTCCAAAGGGCTTTGACAGAGCGACGGATGAACTGGACGTCCCCGAGCCGCACGTGGAAGTGAGCCTCCTTACAGAATCCTACAAGGAAGCCTATTCCAATTCTTGAGGCCCCGAAATGACATACTGGCATCAAGAATCTGCAGGGGAGAAGCAAAGTGGGAATCGGCTTTAATTGATGCACCTAAACCCGAAACCCTAAACCCTTCACCCGAAACCAGCAAAAAACCCTAAACCCTACACCCGAAACCTCAAACTCCATTGCTTTTAGGACCCCAACTCCCGACCCGGAGGCTCGGTGAGGAGGATCCTTCGAGCTCCCAGGGCATCCTCGCCGTGGCCCTGGAGCACGTCCGGCGCCTCGCTGCTGGGGCCGAAATTGGCGGGGGGGGGGGGGGGGGGGG